GACAGTTTGGGCCAGTGTTCTGAGCACTCCAGGCTCTGCTGGGGTCTGCTATTGAGTTATTGTGTAATCTTGGGTGAGTCATTTAAATTCCTTATGCTCTGATTTCACCAGTCTGTAAAATAGGTGTAATCCTCCCCCATTTACCTCAGACAGCAAAAATATCTATAAAACATCTTAGATGACACGTTATGTTCAGGCAAATTTTCCTTCAGTAAAAAACTCTCTGTGTGAGCCGGATTTGTCCACAGATCTTTTTGTCCTGCAAATCTCTGCCCACAGACACACACACACACAGAGTCATGTCAGCGCTGTCTGAAAAATGAGATAAACATGCCTTTACCATGAAATCAAAACCATCCTTCTGCTCCTATCACTGCAGAAATTGCACTAACTATCAAACTTTAAGTCTTTTCAAAGACCAAATCTTGCTTGCCCTAATCAAATGAGAAGTCTCAGTAAAAATCAGTAGGATACTTCAAGCCCTTAAAGAAAGAGGGATCTGGCCTCTTGTAGAGCACTGAGGTAAAACAGACACAGTGCTGCAGTTTGCATTGGACAGTTCTCAATTAGAATGCTGAGATTTATGGCGTATTTTATCCGGTTTTCATTCTCTGCTGTTCAGTTTAACTTTTGACCCATGGTTATTGGCAGAAGAGGGCTTGTCCCAGAGGTCCATTAGCCCCTTCCAAAGAGGCATTCTAAGAAGTGCCAAAAAAGAGGGTGGGAAACAGGTCTCTTTGTAACAGGACCCCTCCTCCTTCTCTGAAATGCTCCCACAATCGATGTGATAGTCAGGGTACAAGAAAACAGGAGATCCTTAAGATTTTTCTGCACTAAGTATTTCAGGTCTTGCTTTATTCCTCTTCTGTCCTTGCCCTGACAAGAGCTTGGATGGAAACAAATCCTATAGAAAGGGTCAACGCTAGTTGTGCCCACAAATCTGCATGGACTCAGAGTAAGAGAAAATGGAGGTTATAAATACAGGGTACCTGTGCTGAGACCCTGATAAGAGACAGATTAAGGTGTGGCATACAGGTGTTCTCCAGAAGACTGGAGTTCTTAGAGCTCCCAGCCAATATGGGACACAACATCCTTACGAGTTGCCGATACATCCTTGAATTTGATTAAAAAAAAATGCTTGGGAATAAATAGATTTACCCAGGTTGGACAGCCCTGCCCAGTGCATTCCCTTCAAAAAGGGAGAGGATGGCTGTGCTGAAGGGGAGTCTGCTGGCATGTAACTGGCACAACTCCTCAAGGCTAAACTTTTAGACTGATAAAAATATCAAACAGGATCAATCACCTTGTGCTGGTGACACAAATTAAGGGCAGAGCTGTAAATGTGGAAGGCCAGAGTATTCCAGGGGAAGACCTGTATGATCCTGGCCATTTCAGCATTGGGGAAAGAATGAAATGCAATAGGATGAGAAGTCAGGCTGTGCAGTTTGAGATTAATAGGAGTGATGCTCCGTGGTGAGCACGACACTCCTCAGATGGAGATGTCCTTACAGCACTGAGGTTCTCCAAGGGCCTTCCCATGGACATGGGGCACAAAAATAACCCAGCTCGCTTTAGGATAGCGCCCTTCATTTGCAAAAGGCATTATATAACTTAGTTGCCTCTAACAACAGAGGACTAGTTTGATGAACCAGAAGGCCCCTTCCAGTCCTATTGTTCTTGCTATTCCCAAAGTTAAATTAACACCAACCTTGCCTGGGAACATTGTTCCTGCGCCTGTGGAGAGGGAGTTTGCCCTGGAGCTCCCACGATGAGATGTCTCTGTAAATGGGAATTGAAAACCCTGTAAATGGGAATAGAAGAGGTGCCAGGTTTGTAATATATAAAAAAAAAAAAAAACAAAACAAAAACAACAACAACAACAACAAAAAGCAATAGATCAAAATCCTCCTCATTTGGGGGGCTGAAAGGTTCATAAGGACACAGTGTGCTACAGCAGACCAGCCTTAAATTCCCTTCAGGAGCAGCTCATGGCCTGTGGCACAGCATCGGCCCCCTTAAAGGGCACCCGCTGTCCTCTGCCAGCCTGAAGCAATTGGGGCAGAAACACTCAGTTTGGGAAAGTGACTTTGCTCTAGACAGGCTCCCACCTCTTTCCCTCAGGCCTTCCTTCTCACTGCTGTCCCTGCCTGTCAGGACGACAGGGCCTCCATACCCCACAGACTTCACCTCGCACAAATCCCGGGCCTGGGAGCAACCTCTCCCACCTATTTCGCACGCAGGTATATGTTTTAATATGGAATATGTGACAGGAAGTGAAATTCAGCCGTGTAGGGCCACCGGGAGGCTGTGAGGGGCAGGGCAGGGCCCCTGACTGGCTCCACCACCATGTTGGCTGCTGAGGGAGCCGGCCGTGCCCTGGCCGGTGCTGTGAGGGCACCTCTGCCCCCTCAGGGCAACAAAGCCAGTTAAAGTGATACCAAAGAGGGGTAAAACAGCCCAGGGTCTGTGGAGTGGTGGCACTGCCTCCGGGTCTCTCTTCAGGATACAAATTTAGGTGTAAAGACGCTCAAACCGAGTGACAAAATGGAGGCAAAGCTGTGACAGTGACTGCCTGAGAGCAGGCGGGGCCATCAGAGCACACAGCCCAGAGCAAGGGAGGGTAAGTGAAGTAACAGCTATTTAAAACGTGTGAGAATAGAAATTGCCCCTCCCTGGCTCCCCAGTCGGGTGGAGCCGAGGAGAGGAGCAGGCACGGGGTCTGGCAGGGTGAACACCAGCACCTCACGTTTGGCGTGTGTCCCTTGTGCTGCCCTGTCACTGTCACTGCTGCTCCTGAAGGTGGGACTGCACGGTGGAGATGGTGTTTTAGCACATGTGACATCTTTTCCTGGAACACTACGATTAGAGAACTTTTAGAAACAATCGGGGAACCTTTGGAAATGACTGCAGCTGGCATCTGGGTCTCAGGGCAGCGCTGGGACAGGTTCAGGCTGCAGGGCAGGAGGCAAGAGCAGGACAGGGATAGGTATGGATGTACCTACCCCTCCATCTTCTGTCACCTCCACAACAGCAATTTGGAAGGGGGCCGTGGCAGAGACACAGGTGTCTGCCAGGTGACATGTCCCTGGGAGGGAGCTGTGGGGAATAAGCCAAGGACACTTTCTTCCTGGGAGGAGCTGCCCCAGCCCCCAGAAGGTGCCAGCCTCCAGCTTTCTGTTCCAATTCCCAGCGTGGTTTAGCAGTGCAACAATTCACTCACAAGACACAGAGCAGAGC